TCCGAAGTTCACCGACTCTAGGCGAAGTCATCACATAAACTCACAGGAATGATGTACCCCTTAAGCTAATAGACGGACCTTCTTTCTAAGGGTTATTGAAAATATATTGAGAAATGAAAAATCCCTCCATGAAGTATATATGATGATAAACAATAGACAATAATTAAATAAATGCAATGGATAAATTAAAGCAATAAATAAATAAAGAAATAAAAAATAAATAAAAAACCCTAAAGTAAAAACCCTAAAATCTAAAGTTAAGGTCGCTAGCAGAGTCGTCAGCTGTTGTGACTGGTTTTTTAATCAGAGCCGCCACTATTAGTTTTTATCCTAGGGAAGGGAATCTTACAGAAAACCGTAATTCGCAGATAGAGAATCTAGGTTTCGGACTTCTTTGGACGAAAGGAAGGTGTTAGGCACCTTTCATCTAACTTGTTCACAAGGATACTAGGTTTTAGGTTTGAGTTGGGGAAACAGGATTTAAATATTATTAAGGGAAAAGAGTTTTAATTTTTAATAGGGGAAAGAGTTTTAATTTTTTATAGGGGAAAGAGTTTTAATTTTTTATAGGGGAACTCGCTACGATTTTTGATCGTATGCCTACGTATCCTCTTATGAGGAATCAGAGTCCCAATTCGTAGTTCGTATGGGTTGGTGTTTTTTAGGGGTTGCAAATGTATTTTGAATCACCTCGCATTTTGGCCGGGAGTAGATATTGCGGAGATTTTGGCTAAATGTGCGGTAAGTCAAAATATGTTTGAAACCTTTTTGTAAAACAGTTGATTAGATTAGTTTATTCGTGAAAAATAGTTTGATGTTTGTTAGTATTTTTAATCGTATTAATTTAAAAAATTCTTGATTAATGCATGATTAAAAATATGTTAATGCAATATTGTAGAAATTAACGTATGAGTTTGAATAAAAATAAGTATTTATGATAATCTAAATAGTATCTATATGTAATAAATAATAATGATATATAAAAATTAATAAAATTTAATATTACCAATAATAATAATAATTATAAAAGAAATAAATAATATATAAAAATAAAATATAATTATATAAAAAAATATAAAAATAATTAATTTCAGGGGGGGGTGTTTTCAGTTATGAAGCAAATCAGTGGGGTGCCTAAAGGAAATCGAGGCCAGGCCCAAATATAGTTCAGCAAAGGGGGGTACAATTTGTTTTGAGCTTTAGTAATTCAGGCAAGGGGGTGTTAAACATAAGTGGACTGGCCCATTATGTAAATTGAGAGAGGGTCCGGCTGATTGCCTGTGGCGAGGGTGCATGAGCGTATGATGGACTTGGCCTTACGGCCGTCCATTTATGATCACACGGACACGATTGCAAGGGAGCGTGATAAGCATTCTAAGTGTGTGTACTGGATCAGAACGTATTATAATATTTTGTTTTCAATATTCATTTTTACCATTATTCTTGTTTACAGCAAATTACCCTCTTCCTCTCTCACACAACACTCAAACCCTTGTCTTCCTTCTCTCCAAACCCTTTCCCTACCCTTTTGCTAACCCTAAACCCAGCCAAACCTCACGGAGGCGCTAAAGAACAAACCCAGCGACCCTACCCCACGAACCCCCCAACCAGTATAAGAGCAAAAAAAGATGAGCTAAGTCGGTTTACCCCTGTGCGATTTCTTTCTCTGATTCTGCGCCTTTTAGTTGAAGCTAATCCCTCCGTCTTCTTTGATTTGCAGGCTTTGGAAGTGGTGTCCAATGGTGGTGGTAACGGCACGGTCAAGCAATTAGGGTTTCAGATATTGAAACCCTAATTGCCTCTTCCTCATTCTTCAACAACAAATCAGGTTCTCATCCTTTTTCTTTTGTATTCGCCTTTGAATTTTGTCCTTCAAATTCTTTTTTTTTTGTACTTTCGTTGTTAGTATATATAGGGTCATATTTAGGGTTTTTTCCCTAGAATTGTCGTTACGAAGTTGTCTTAGATTTAGGGATGAAGAGATAATTAGGGATTCAAATTGTAGTATGATTTGTAATTTATTGAGATTATTGAATGTAATATATTTGATTTTGTTTTTGTGAAGATTGAGATTTAATTTTAATTTTCTGTAAAGATTTTATTTGCTGTAAATTTCAGATTTTATTAGTGTAATTTGAATTATGGAGATTTGATTTGTAATGTAGATTTGATATAGCTTAAGATTTAATTTATTTTCAATTTAGATTTCCAGATTTGGTTTCAGTTTGATTTGAACAGATGCTGTTTATATGCGTTAATGTTTGGCAAATTGGAACAACAATTGTTATTTGCTTTTGGGCCTGCGTTGATTGTCTAATTTTTGTTCTGGAATTGGGCCTTTACGTTATATTTTTTTGTCTAGCAGCAATAAACGAAATTGGGCCCTTAATATAAGTATTGATTGGGCTTATTCACTTCTCTTAATCAAATCCAGTGGATTATTCTAAAACCAAACTCTTTATTCACAAAAATGATTTTATTAATCTTAATAATAAATTAACCCATAAAATCATGGATCAAATTATAATTCACAAATGCCAAATTCCAAAATAATTTTTAAACAAAAAATTTCTGATGAAAACATTTTCTCTTTTTTTTTTTGAGATAAAGTAGTAAGTGTCAAAACGCTAATTGGGCCTGGCTTGAAAGACAAACATAAAAGTCATGTGATTCAGAATTATACCCCCCTCTTTACTGTTTTCTATTAAAAGAAATGGGCCAATATAAATTTTAATATAATTGTATCTTCACGTCTTCTTTTATTAACAACAATCATTCTTAAATGGACCTTAATTTTAATTTCAACTAATAACAACTTGAACTTAAGTTGGTTTTAAGAATTAAGGACTTCATAACTATTATTCTTTCTTGAAATAATTTTCTATTTTTGAATCACATGGGCCATTGGCCAACATGCTTCGCAAATGGGTTTATGAGTCTTTCTGATTTAAAAAGCCCCATTTTCCTGAGTTAAAAACACCCTTCTTATTGATTTGAATTCTTCTTAAAAAGTTGGCCAACATATACTGTTGTACCATCTTTAATTAAATATTCTCTTCTATTTTAAATCTTGCAAATGTGATTATAGAGGTAGGGGAAATTTGGGGTACGACACTAGCAGAGTCACCAGTTGTCACGTCTAGGATTTTCATCAAAGTGCGAAGGAGGAGAAACACAGAAGAGTCGCCTTCAATGTTATTTATCCCAAGAGAGGAAAAGGAAACACTGGGTAAGCCTGAAGGATTGAAAGGAAAGGAGCATGGTCATCACAACCAAGAGGAAAAGGGTAAGAAAGTCAGTTACGCGATGGGAAGGTGTTTGCACCCCTCAGGTCTGTGGTACTCCACAAGATCCACTAAAGTTTGTTCTAAATTAAAGGCGTGTCTTATCTATGTCTAAAGTTTAATTCTAAAAGGGAAATGCATGAATGCAAAGGATTATGTACAAAAAAAAATTTTATTAGTCGTGCGTGCCCTGGTTGCGAACCTCCGTGCTTACGTCCACCGACCTTGCAGTAGGGATCAAGGTACTCGTAGTTCACCTCAAAAGTTTTGGTGAGTTTCATGTTTTTTATGAACAATGCTAGGGAAGCATGTCATTTTTGAAAAAGTTTTAAAAGAAAAAGGTCTGAAGATAAAATGGTTTGCATTTGTTAATATTTTTACCTTGAAAAGGGATTTTTGTAAGGTTAGAGATGTTTTATGAATTTGACAAAGAAAAAAGGGTTTTAGTTTTAGTAATGCAAAAGAGGGAAGTAAAAAGTCTAAGGGAGACTAACCTAGTGTTATCCCTATAGTTATCATACAATGATGGTCCTAGAGTTTGGATTAACAAAGAGAGAATCTACCTAGTATTGGCATACATAGATTCAACCCTAAAGTCTAATTAGTTCAAACTTGAAAGAGAGTGAACTAACAATCCTATGGGAGCCTGTGATCACACAATAGAAAGAAAACACACAAAGCTTGAGGAGTATCCACTCGCTCAAGTAGCACACATATAACCATGATATCATGTCACCAAGGTAGGAAGGAGAGATGAATAACGCCTAATCACGATATCGTGTCATCAAGGTAGGATAAAGGAAGAGGGACACCTAACCATGATATCATGTCATCAAGGTAGGATAAGGGGAGGCTTAACAAGATATCTAGTCATCGAGGCAAGAAAAATGGGGGAATGAATAACTCTTAACCATGATATCATGTCATCAAGGCAAAAAGAATAGGGGTGTTGACCCTTAACCAAGATATCATGTCGTCTAGGCAAGAGAAAAACGAAAGTGAATCGTCATACGCAACTAAACACCTAACTAAGATATCATGTCATCAAGGTTGGCAATAGAAGGCAATAATGAGATCACATTGAAGCATAAACGTTGGCGAATGCGAGCTAAATACAAATTGTGGGGGTTGATTGTAAACCCTCTGCTCTACTAGACTGACTCGATAACAAGAGTAACACTATTCATAGCATGAACGTGAGATGTGAGCTACAAATGACCTGGGGACTGGAAATGGCGAGGGTCGATTATGGACCCTCACTTCTCCTTATGCCTTCTTTGAGGTCTTTATCAATGGGGAATGGGAATGAGAATTCCTCCTTTGAGGTCTTTAGCACAAATGTAAATACACATAATTGCCTTTGTTGAGGACTTTAAACAAGCAAGCACAAGTAGGAATTGCCTTCTACAGGTCTTTTAAAACAACATTACCCACCTAAAGTAGGGAATTCCAATCATGCATCTCTATTCCTACTTCTCATGGAAAAGAAAGTGGTAAACGATGCAAGAGTAAAGGAAACATAAGAGAATACCAATCGAACACAAGTTCGTCAATTATCAGACGAAGCAAAGAAACCCGGAAAACTTTGTGCAAGCTTCACCAATAAAGAAGATAGTCACAAATCATATAATAATAATGAGTAGTGAAGCATAATCCATGTGAAAGCAAATCACACGCATATCCGATATCATGTAAAAATCATGCACAAGATACAATCTATACGAATACAAGTAATCTGCAAATTGCATGGTGCGAGAAATAGCCTTTCGGAGCCTGCACAAACACACAAGAAGAGTTATTAATAACAAGAAAGCATAATTGGAAGCAAGCAATCATATCACAACTCAAAATAAGGCCACAATGCAAAGAAATGGCATCCGAACAATTATCGGAACATGGAAATAGAAATTCGGGCAACACCACATCCAAACAAGCAATAGCTCAAAATCTCAAGTCGAAAGCGACTAAATCCATCATAGATATCTTGCAATTGCTCAAATACAGTCATGCATGCCTTAAACGATAATTGAAACGGAAATGTACATGCATTTAATTCATTCATACATTTTTGTTTCACTATTTGAAGTGTGCGAAAAGTAGGTTTAAAATCAATCGGTATCATCACAAATGTAACACGTGGACCAAGGCAAGAGCAATGGTGTGCTAACCAACAAGAAAATTAAGCTCGAAGGCTTACTTACCACTTCAGGCAGTATGGTATGAATGCATGAAACGGCTCAAATAATCGCATTAAAAACGAGCAAACTCAACAAAAATTGTTCAATAATCAACCAAATGATCACAAACATGCATTAGATGAGAATTGAATCACAATATATATGTATCAAGCAAATTCGGACAGAACTACACCAACACATGGAATTAATCGGAAACTCACATCGGAATTGACAAAACTCATCACTAATGTTCATGAAATGCTAAATATGCACAAGCAGACATCAAATGAGAATTAAAGAAACATGTACTTGTGAAATTAAATTCCGAACAACATGTTATTTTTACATGAAATTCTCCAAAATGTCGATTTAAAATCCACCGAAATTGATACCGGTATCCACCAATTATGTTAACAAGATCACAAATGCGTCTAGTTGGAATTAAATCATGGTTTACGGTATATTCGTAAATCCAGGACATCATACCTCACATGTTTATATTCTTCAAGAATTGATTAGAAAATCAATGTTTCAATGTTCAAAATTCCAATATCAACACATGGAAACTTAAACGGAATTTACAAAGAAAATGCATTCGTTGAATTGGTACAGGTACCACCATTATCAAGCATTGAAATGAAATCAATTTACGCGTCAAAAGAGATTGAGCAACTTGAAAATTAATTTTGATTCACGAGTTTAAGCAATTATCAAGGGATAATGAATCGGAACCACATTGTGACGCATAAATCTAAACGAAATCAACTCCCAAAGTTTATCGAAATCAACTTAAATCAACTCATGAAACTTAATTATAAAAAATTATTAAATCAGATTTAAGTTTCGATGCGAAAAATCAACAAACAATTGATTAAAGTGTCATCAGTTTCCATATTTGTTCATAATTGAAGTTCAAGAATCAAATTGAACAAAATTCTCAACAATTAAGTGCTTAAATCCACAATTACAGAATCAATTATCGCTTAAATCACACAATTAAACTTAATCCAAAATCAATTGCAATCAAAAATCAATTAATAAAGAAATGAGGAATTTACTGAATTGATGTCGAAGAAGTGGAAAATGAATAGGAGGAAGGAGCTTGCAATAGAAATTGGAGAAGGATTTGTTCGAGAGGCTTGATGCTGAAGAAGGGAGTTTGACGCTGGAAGAGGGAGTTATCTAGCCGGAAGGTGTTGTCCGAGAGAGAACAACCAGAGAGAGGTTTCTGCACTGGGAGGCTGATCTGTGGAAGGGCTTTGCCGGTCGAGAAGGCCGGGCACGGTGGTTCACCGACGAGAAGGGAGCAGATTGGAAGTGGTTGAAGGAGTAGAGGGAATAGTCTTTGAGTTTTATGCTTTTGGGTTCTTGGAGGGAAGAGAAAGTTTGAGAGAGAATGGATTTGATTTCAGAGAGAGTTTGGAGATTTTTGTGATAGGTTTTTGGATAATGAGTGAATGTTGTGTGAAATTTTGAAATTCAAACTTACATAGAATTGTCTCCAAAACTCAATTTTCGATTTATTTCTTGTACGATCGACATCGAACCCCCAAGCTCATGAAAATCGATGTAGAATCCTGACACGAGATTTGAAACAAAATCGTTAATGACGAAGTTCATGATGTTACGCCGAAAGAATCGTCCCATTACGATAAAAATTGAGCGAGTTACGGTGCTCTGAGTGGCGAGAACTCTGTGTAAAATTTCACAGTGCAGATTTTTTCAGCTAATTTTGTGTATGACGCGCGAATAAACCACAAGCTGATAACTTTTCGGATAGAATCCTGATGCGCAACCTAAAACAAAATCACCGGCGACAAAATTTGTGACGTCGTGCCGAAAGAATCACCCTAATACGATAAAATTTGAGTAAGTTATGATTTTTGAATGGCGAGAAACAATGAACTTATTTTGCAGTACTAAAAATTCCAGCTTATTTCTACGCGCACTTTAGGAACCGAGCCATAAACCGAAGCCTTTAAAGCAAAATCCAAACTCGGGACCTAAATCAAAGCTGTAGTTAATAAAATTTGTGATCTCATGCTTTGAGAATCGTCTTGAACTGATAAAAATTGAGAAAGTTACGGAATTTTTCAATATCGCGAAACGGTCCATTAGAAAACCACTCCAGGATGCAATTTTCTCGGGTAATTGCACTTTCGAAGATCTTCTACAAAGAATTAACTTCCTGAACCAAACATATGAATCGAAGATATAATCAAGATGACTTTTTTTCCAAAGAACCATTCAAAAATGGTCTGTTATGAATTTTTGAACATCTAAAAAACAGCTGTTCAGCACACTATTTTCACAGTATTTGAACCGTATACCTTCAGAGAATTCGCAAATCTGGGGATCTTCCTTACTGAATTAAATTTCGGTCCAAACATGAAAGTTGACGGAATTAATAAGATGGTTCGAATGCTCCAAGATCCACTAAAAAGGGATTCTCCTATCAGAAGTTAAGAATTTTTAAGCAATATGAAAACCAGCGAACCAGCAAATCCACTATATACCGTGATTTCAATTATTTGCGCTTTTGAACATCTTTCTCAAAGAATTGGTTCCTAACTCAAACATACAAAATATAAATGGAATCAAGTAAGATTTAATGATCAAAAAACAACTCAAATATCATCCACCGGTCACAAGTTACACATTTTTGATCATTCGCGAGACAGTGAACCAGCATACTGTTTCCAGTGATTTCTGGTAAACAACCGCTAGTCTTCCAAACTATCGAATAATCTTTATTAACGCTATTCAATCTCTCTGGTAACTCACAGGATCGACTAGATTGATCCTAGGACTCCTTGGATATTAAAGTTACTCTCACAATCGAACAATTATTCATGGTTGCTATTGTACAAGTGTTTGGTTTATTTCGATCCCTCTCTCTAAGAGTTTAAAAATGTAGTCAAAATGTATATGAAAACTAAGTTATACGAATAAATACTAATTGTAATGCTGGTTGAAGAGACATATAAAACTGTATGAAAAATGAAGTAAATGGTTTCGATTTGCAAAACATAAAAGGTTTCTGGAATGTAGAAGTTTGAAATGTGAAGAAAACGTTTAATGCAATTTTAAGTAAAAGGATGCGTTTGAAAAACAATACTTGGAAGTAAAGGTATTGAAAGCGTAACAGTTCTCTGAAATATAAAGTGCTCGAAATATAAAGAAAGCATTAAAGAGTAAAACTTTGAGGAAAAGACTTTGAAATGAAAAGACAATAAATAAAGAAACTTGTAAATGCTGTTCGATAAAAAGAAAAGAGGAAAGTACTGGAAATGGTAAAAAGGCTTTCATTAAATTAGAAATACATGGTGCTATCATACATACATCTCTCTTGCATTCGTTTCCCTTGCCATGTGGTAGTTTGAATGTTATTGAGTATTTTGTATAACAGATATGACACACTGAAATCCTAATACTAAGACTTCTATTTATACTAATTCGACCCTAACGGTCTCACTATAGGATCATGCCACGTTTCGAACATGCAAGACAATACTTCTTTCATCTTTCCACGTGTCCTCAAATGCTCCAACACATAACTTTCAAACTTTGAAAGTCCCGCTTCCATTTAAATTTTAAATGCTTTAGTGTTCTTCCGTTTCGAACGCTCTTCCCAAACCTAGCCTCGCTGTTGTTTCGAGACCCCTTTGGATATTTTCCCATGATCATCGTTCGAAGCTTCAAGCTTTGACACACTCATTCGAAACACTGCTTCTGCAACTTCGAAACATGGTGTTCAATTCCATTTCGATCAGAATCCTTAACCAATGTTAAATTCTAAATAACATTATCAAAATCTTCAGCCAACAAATTGCCCCTTTAAAATATGTATTTCGATCTCTTTGAGAAATACCTATTTTAAACATTTATACAAGATTTTGATAGGATTTTCGAATCATCATAACATTTAATGCCTTTGACTCCAGTCACATCAATCAAAGCACCTTTTGGGTTCCTTAACCGCCCAGAGTCACTTCACAGCATGGTGCAGTTATAAGTAATGATTGTTTTTAAATCACGCCTATTACCTATATCAACTTCTCGCCACCTCTTCATCACACCAACCCATGATCTCCACGTATCACACTTTTACTCGGTGGATGTTTAATCTTCTCATTATAAAACGTTAATTTACTCTTCCTTTTTCTTTTTACACTCTAAATCTTTCATACTCTGAATTTCACTCTTCTTCTCTCATAAACAATCTAAGCTCTCAAACAACAAAAATGTCTTCTTCCACCTCTTCCCAACTCAAGAAAGTCTCAAAGAAGAAGGGAAAGACTACAGGAGCAACCATGGAGAGTAAAATCGTCACCATTCAAGGCCAATCTGCTCTTGCTCCTCAAATGATTTCCAAAGAAAAGGAAATGCTATACGCATCACAGGTACTCATCCCTACCCATGTTGCTGGTAAGAGGTTAGCCTTAAATGGTCCTCTTACAGTTTTTGAAATACTAAAGGACACCAGGACAATTTTTCCCGTATGTTATAGCTTCAAACCTTTATTCAACAAAATGGAGACCCCTAGGGTAGTAGAATCCCTCAGTTCGAATACCGCAGAAACCCCAACTGTTCCTCCCAAGGATCCATTTGTTTTGGATTATGTGAAAAGCAATTTTAAACCATTTAGATCTTGCCCTACTTCTGATATTGCCTATCAAAACTGGTTCACGAAAGTAGAAGCCAAGAAATCCCAGCAATGGGAAGAACTAGGCATCTATAACCTCATTAAGCTATCGAAACCTGGATTCACCTATAGCCACCCTTTGCTGTTTGCGTCCCTTTATTTCTGGGATAGTACCTACAACACTTTCCATCTCCCAGGTGGAATGATTACCCCAACTTTCTTTGATATAGCGGCTATTACTGGTCTGTCGCCAGTGGGAGAAACTTATGTTCCTGACAACGAAGAACACTCCAGTATAATTGACTTCGAAGTCAAGTTAGCCAGCTTTTCCAATTTTATCAGCCATTATCATGCTGAAGGGGATAATGTGTCTGACATAGAGCATATTGCATTCTTAACCCTGTGGCTGTCTAGGTATGTTTTCTGCAGTAGATCCCTGCAGGTAGCTAGTAGGTTCATTCCTCTAGCTAGGGATTTACACGAAAGTCGCAAGGTATGCCTAAGTGAATTACTCTTAGTTGACCTCTATGAGAGCCTGAGGTCAGCCGTTTCGAGTCTCAAATCCCACACCTCTAAAAACATTCTATTAGCTGGCCCATTTTGGTTACTCCAACTATGGCTAAATGCCATGTTCGAACCTTCTTTACCAACTGCCAACACCATAGACGAGCAAGATTCAGAAATAAGTGATAGGATAGTCGAAGGCACTAGGCTTCGAAGACTAACTCCTAATGATGACAAGGATGACTTCAAGGTTCAATTCTCGAAGTACATCATGATCCTCTCTAAAAGGCATAAGTTTGAAGAGAGCATGGCGCCTTTCGCTTCGAGGGCTCATGGACCTTCTTGGTTCACCATGGCTCTCTCAGAAGCCATCAAGAGCAAGGAGATCCAAGATGTATGGAGAGCTTTCTTGCTTCCTAGACTCATCTCTTCAAGGATAACCCCAGCTAAGAACCAAATTCTTCTTTTTGCCTACCAACCAAACTTCGTTTCGAGGCAGTTTGGCTTATGCCAACTGATTCCTGAACCTTTGTTCCAGACTGAGAGCGCCATCACATCTGGTCGAACTTTCAAGGCAAGGGAAGCCAAGATTCAACAAGAACAATATCAAGGCTTTGCCCAATTTGAGCTGATAGCTTTCGAACCTACCCACCTCGCGGCTAAAGGATTTCTGGAGTGGTGGATTAAGTTTTATCAAACTTGCATGTTCGATACACTTACAATTCGACAAAAACTAATTGATGCCTTCGATGTGCAGGTACCAGCAAAGAAAGGTATGTTTACTCATGCCAAAGAGATAAAAGCTTTTCAAAATTATTTTGAAACTACTTACGACCCCACGCGCTTGGACTCCACTGTGCATCAAGCAGCTGAGACCTTGAAGGAAAAATTTAAACAAAAAGTTTCTAAGCTAAAACTTCCTTCAGGGCTGTCACCTGAGGATAGGTATAGGTTGGCATTCGAAATGCATCCACCTAAATTTCCCAGATTACCTACCTCAGAACTGGCTCTGGCTTGGTTTCCTCCATATCCATGGTGGTTTACTTGCAAAGAGATGTTCAAATATCTTCAAAGGAAACCAAAGCCATCTGAGACTGTGACATGGGCTCGACACTGGCTTCATGATTTCCCAGGACATCTTCGATATGACCTTTCTGCCATGTCAATTAAATCTGATCAAGGCACAGGTGCGAATGCTTGGGAACAATCCCAAATGTCTTTTATTTTCCAAATCTTTAACCTTTGCCTTAATTGTTTTGATTTTCAGCTATCAGGATAAAGACTGCTGCCTCGAAATCGAAGGAAGGGAGTGCCTCTCAGACCTCCGCTGAAACTACTGAAAAAGCTAATCCACCCGAAACAACTGCTACTGCTGCAACTATAACAACAACAATAACGCCAACAACAAGTGCCCCAATTCCAACGGTAATCACTTAGTTTTTTGATGTTTCGAATTCACTCAAGCTTTTTATATCTAACTTCGTTAAAATTCGTTCAGACCAACAAGCTTCCTCCCACTACTCCTAAAAAGCGAAAACCAAGCACTACTGGGGAAGATCCCACTGCTGGAGGAAACTCAAATACTGCTTCGAAGAAGAAGCTAAAGAAAGCTACACCTAAAAGTACTGTTCCAACTAGCGTCTCTGGACTCGACTCCAGGGATGCTGCTCCCTTACCAAAATCCAAAAATCCACCTTCGACCTCCAACCCACAGTTGGAACGCATAGCTAGTAACCTCTCTTCTGAGGGCCCACAGGTAAATCGAACTTCCTCTAAAAAATGTTTAAATTCTTATTACCTTGGTGAATATTTTTCTTTAACATTCTGCCACTCTTTGCAGAACATCTTGAATCCCACTTCTACCATTTCGACCTCACCGTCCAGAGCTGCTGCTCCGCTTAACTCCTCTCCTCAAGGAGATTCCAGCAATTTGGTCCAAAACAAAGGTTCTTCCAATGTGGCGGTTTTAGCTGGAACTTCTGAACAGCCAGATGACCAAGGCACCTCCATTCCTCTAAAAGAGGTGAACGAAACGATACTTCAAACGTCTGCAGAGGATTCGCAAAAGGTTCTTCAAAAGTCCCCTCTTGAAACTCTTCAAGAGGACCCAAAGGATGCTCAGGCTGAAGAAGAAAAAGCTGATTCTGGGCGAGAATTCGAAGAATCTGCAGGCGAAGAATCTGAGGAGGAAAATGCCAATGACGAGGAAAACGTCAATGACGAGGATAACGCCAATGATGGTTCGACTGCCGGGACGGAGTCTAACGCACATAGCGGCGAAAGGGATGGTATCGAAGTGGTAGATTTGGACGAAGATGAAGAAGAGCAAGAGCACGAAGCAAATGAAGGGGATGGTGATGCAATCAACGAAACCTTAGAGGTCGAAACAAACGCGGTTCCCCTACGCGTGGAATTCCCCCAATCCTCTCCGTCTGGAATGACTGACGAGGAACTGGAACTTCTGAGGCGCAATGACCCCATTGGGTATATGAAGGCAAAGTTGGCTCAGAGGGATGTTCCAATCGCTAGGGCTGGCACAAGTTCAACCAGCTATCCTCTTCCCACAGATGAAAGAGTTGTTCTTCTTAACAAAATTAGGAGAACTATTCTCAATGTGGATATCTTCGAAGTGCTTAAGCAAGATAGTACTGCTTGCTATACTATGAAGGAGCTGCTCACAAAGGTTAATCTTTCCAATTGCTCTTTGCCAGTTAGTACTCTCTTGTTTGATCTTCAGAATTTGCTGGACAACGTAACTGGCTACCTTCTCCAAGACGAATCTGCTGCCAAGAAGGTTCATGAGAAACGCATTGCCATGGATGCCGCCTATGAACAAGCTTCGAAGCTTTCTCAAGAAGCTGAGGATCAGGCTATGCATCTGAAGCAGGCGAAAACTGAATATGAGGCTCGAGCTGAGTCCATTCTCATTTGGGAAAGGCAGATTCTGGAACTTCAGCAGAAAGTTAAGGAGGCTAAGGAACAACAACTAGCCTTCGAAACTAATCCTGCAGGTAACCAATTCGAAGAGCTTCTCAACCGAGGGCTTGCAGAAATGGAGACTGCAGAACAACTTAAAGGAGAAGTGGCAACCTTGGAAGGTGCCAGGCGGTTTGCTCAGCAAAGACTTGAAACATTTCGAAGTACCTTTAATAGATTGAAAAATAATGTTTATTTCTAGATTTTTATGTCTGTCTGACCATAGCTTTGGCTCTTTACATGTAATATTCGAACAACGCCATTTTGGCATTCTTATCTTGCCATCTTGGCTTTTTACAATATTTTGTTTATGTTGTTATTATTCGAATCTCCCGCAGGCTTGGCTTATATTTCTTTAAATATTTCCCATTAACCTTTAGGACTCGTTTATCATCCAAGAGTTCTTCGACTTCGTATGCATTGTTTGAGAATACCTTTAATATTCGAAAAGGTCCTTCCCAATGAGGTGACCATTTACCTAATGCTTTGTTCTTCTTATCCATAGGCAATATGACTCTCCAAACCAAGTCATTAATAATGAATACTTTTTTCTTCACCCTTTTATTGTATGTTCTGGCCACTCTTTCTTTTTGCCTCATCAGAATTTCCAACGCATGTAATCTAATTTCGTCCAACTCAACTAATTCATTCATCATCATTTCCCAATATAATGCAGCTGGAATTTCGTTTTGTTTCTGGATTCGAACTGATTGTAGATGAATTTCTACTGGTAACACTGCATCATGGCCGAATGTAAGTTGGAAAGGCGTAGTGTTGGTGGCTTCCTTAGGAGATGTTCTACAGGCCCACAACACTTGGTCCAGAGTTTTATGCCAATTTCTTGGCTTCTTGCCAATATGCTTCTTGATTAATCCTATTATTACTTTATTTGCTGCTTCGACTTGTCCGTTTGCCTGAGCATAATATGGCGTTGATGTTAGCAATCTAAACCCCATTTCTTGGGCAAATCCTTGCATCTTTCTACCAGTAAATACAGAGCCTTGGTCTGTAGTTATACTTTCTGGCAATCCAAACCTATAGATAATGTGTTTTTGTATAAATTCGATAATTGCCTCTTGATCAGCAACTACCAAAGGTATAGCTTCGATCCATTTGGTGAAATAATCTACTCCTACCAAGATATATTTCTGACCTTTAGACGAAGCAGGGTTTATCTCCCCTATTAGATCCAATGCCCATCCTCTGAATGGCCATGGTTTGATGATCGAATGCAACTCACTTGCAGGGGCGTGTTGAATTCCTGCATGTTTCTGGCATTCCTCACATCCTTTAGCAAAGTCTATGCAATCTTTGAGCATGCTAGGCCAATACAAACCATATCGAAATAGCAACCATTTCATTTTATGGCCTGCTTGGTGCGCCCCACATGCCCCATTATGGACCTCAGACAATGCTAAATATGCCTCACTTTCTCCTAGGCATTTCAATAATACACCTTCTTGGGTCTTTTTGAACAACTCGTTCCCCATGAGGAGATATGACAATGCTCTATATTTTGTTTTTCTATCCACCTTTAGAGTTGGGTCTGCTAAATAACTCTTTAATGGACTTCGCCAATCTGTATCTGACAAAGTATTTATGGCTAGAATTTCGAATCCTTGTTTCTCAGCATATCCCAATCTCATACTTTCCAGATCCGATGGTGTGAATCTAGTAGCCATAACTCTTCCCCTTATTTCGACCAAATCTTTAAGATTCTTGGTAGATACTCTATAACCTGAAGCCAACTGCGCTAAGTCATTTGCTTCTTGGTTTTCTAATCTTGGTATGTGTTGAATGTCCATGTATTCAAACTTTCTTAATAGTCTATTGACTATGACGAAGTATACCATTAAATTTTCCTTTATGCATTTGTATTCTTTTGTGATTTGTTTGACCACCAATTCAGAGTCTCCTTTAATTTCGACTCTGGTTGCCCCCAATTCCAACAAAGCTTCAAGTCCAACAATGAGCGCTTCATATTCAGCTTCGTTGTTCGAACAACGAGGACCATCCAATTTATACTTGAATTTTGTTGGAATTCCTTCAGGAGAAATTAGAAGGACTCCAACACCACTTCCATTCCTGTGGGTTGAACCATCAAAGTACAATTTCCATGGTTGCATTTCGACGTAACTCATGCTTGTCTGCTCAACCAACGAATGATCCACAATGAAATCAGAAATCACTTGACCTTTCATAGCTTTTAAGGGCATAAAAGTCAATGAATATTCTGTTAAGGCCAGAGCCCACTTTCCAACTCTACTATGCATTATTGGCTTTGAAAGCATATGTTTAATGACATCGAAGTGAGACGAAACATAAACATCAACAGGTTTTATATAATACTTGAGTTTCATACAAGAGAAGTATAAACAGAGACATAGCTTTTCTAAATTGCTATATCTGGTCTCTGCATCATTTAACACTCTACTTAAATAGTATATGGCTCTTTCGACGCCATTGTTATCCTCTTGTGCTAACATACTACCTATGCTAACTGCAGAAGCAGATATGTACAGTCTCATGGGCTTCTCCCATGATGGTGGAGACAAAATAGGAGGCTGGGAAAAATATTCTTTTATTTTGTCAAACGCCTCCTGGTGAGCTTCGTTCCATTCGAAGGCCTGACCTTGCTTCAGACGAAGTAACGGAGAGAAATCTTGGGTCCTTCCACTCAGGTTCGAAATGAATCTTCTGAGGAAGTTAACTTTCCCTAGTAGAGATTGCAACTCCCTTTTTGACGCAGGTGCTTTCGTCTCTATTATGGCTTTGGTTTTGTTCTGGTTGATTTCAATTCCTTTCTTGTGGACCACAAAACCAAGAAAATCTCCAGCCTGCACAAAAAATGCACATTTCAAGGGATTCATTTTTAAGCCATGTTTTCTCATTCGTTCGAATGATTGGCTTAAATGATGCAAATGTGCTTCTGCAGATATAGATTTGATGACTATATCATCAATATACACCTGCATGAAGGTTTCGATGAAGTCATGAAAAATTGAATTCATCGCCCTTTGATAAGTTGCCTCAGCATTTTTTAAACCAAAAGGCATCA